GTCTACTTGTTGGGCCAATGGCTATGCAGGTTGGAAGACTCCCTTGCAGCTAAGGTTAGCATAGAACAATTTAGACCAATAGGAAGTGCAATTTCCAGATTATTTGCTAATAAGGTAAGCCACTTGTCCTAAATTTGGATCTTTCTGTTTTCTGTAAGCTGGAATACTGATACAGAATTGAGGAATCAACTGTAACCATGAAGATGAAAACAAATTCATGATGAGTAAGCAATGTGGTGGAAAGAACCTGAGTCCTTTGATGAGCACAGAACACCAACATGAATTGCTGATTTGAGAGAGAATATATATATTTTGTTTAAATAACTGTGATTTGGGGTTCCTGTTTTATAGCAGCTTTATATTAAGTCTGAGGCATCCACATTATAAACATTCCAAATATCCTTTATATATGTTTCTGTGGGGAAAAAAAAAAAAAACTTTGTTTCTCTAAATAATTTAAACTTAAGGCAATCATATTAATTTCTGAGTGCATAGTAAGTGCTCAATATAAATTTGTCAAAAAACTGATAGAATACAAAGTCAATTTTACATTACTTCCTTGAACTTAGTTCAGATTAGTAGAGACCCAAATAACAACTTATATGAATTTGTAAAATAATAAATATTATTTTGTGAATTTAACCAATGAGAATTACTTGGCAATTCCAATTGAATGGTATTAGCTATTACATATGATCCAAACACATAGGACACCACGACATTTCAGCTTAGAGGACAAAAATTGAGAAATTTTGAAGATCTTCTGCATCTAGAAAAATATATAAAGCCAGAGATTGTACAATAATGAAAGTAATCTGATCCTTTATACAAAATATGAAGTCATACTTCCTTTGTGGCTGTTTGAGCTGATGGTAAAGAAGTATAATTATGCAATGCAGTCATCTAAGGATTTATATTGGAGTTCATATATAAGTATTTTTGATGTATGATGTGAGAGAAGTGGTCTGTTGTTGCACTTATTTTAATTTCCTTTATAAAGTAAAGGAGCTCTGGTGGCGTAGTGCCTAAGCCATTTGACTGCCAACCAGAAGGCTGGTGGTTCAAACCCACCAGCCACTCCTCAGAAGGAAGATGGAGCAATCTACTCCTGTAGTGATACTGCCTCGGAAACCCAAAGAGGGGTCGCTATGAGTTGAAATCAACTCGTCAGAAGTGAGGGGTTTTTTTTTGCTTTTTGGTTTTTTTTAATAAGTAAAGTGATACACCCTTTGCATAAAGTTCTTACACTGAGTTCCGGCCCCATACTTTCACCAAATGCCTACAACAATTGATTAAATGCCTACAACAATGTGAGATTTTATAATTGAAAACCTTCTAAACTTAGATTATGAAAAGAGCATCTGTGGCATTCTAGCTTTGGGCTGTTCATATTTCTCTCTATCTTCATCACCATGGAGGTGCTGATAGGGTCTGTTATGGCAAGAGAATTAGCAGCTTCCCTGCCACAGTTCAAGTGTGGCATTCAATTTGAAGCATTGGGCAATGGCCATACTGCTGATACACACAGTTAAATTTGGAGGCAAGCATACAGCAAGGGCCAATGTTCTAGCAGCTGGGTAGAGTTGGATTGTATTAACCTAAAAATATGAGGTTGTGGCAAGCATATATTTGACTGAGGCTTTGTGTATATATGGAGTGGAGACCAGAGAGAGTGCTCAAGACAGTCACATACTCCTTGCCAGCACAAAGTCTACCCACATTTACACAGGAGATACAAAAGAGCCCAATAGAAAGTAAAACTGATGCAACTAGAAAAGGCCTGAACTTTTACTGTATTCCCCCGTCAACATACAGAAGGTTCCATGGTAGTGTAGTGGCCAAGACATTTGGCTGCCAACCAAAAGGTTGGTGGTTCGAACCTGCCAGCTGTTCCATGGAAGAAAGATGAAGCAGTCTGCTTCTGAAAATATTTACAGCCTTGGAAACCCAGGGGGTCGCTATGAGTTAGAATCGACTTGATGGCAGGGATTATTATTATTATTATTATTATTATTATTATTATTTTAATTGACATACAGATCCACTGACAGAGGAGGACAAATCTTGGTTTGATGTAGTTGAGCACAACTTCTTCCAATACTGGCTTATAAATAACTCCTGCAACAGCAGAAGTGACCTCTAAGAAACCAGACTTAAATATGAAAACAATATTCCAAAAATAAAAGAGCAATGACTGCCCCTCATTGTAGAGGAGAGAGATTTGATTTCACAGCCCCATGGGGATGGGGTGGGGTGGAGACATAAACATACAAAATGAACAAACAAAAGAGTCTATAGATGCTGGATTTAGCAGAAAAATTCCTCAAAGCAGCTATTATAAATACCTTTGAAAAACTAAAGGGACCATGTTTAAAGAATTAAAGAAAATGATAATTACAACGAATTAACAACGATTCTGCAGAAGGAGTGAATACTATTTTAAAAAACAGAAATTTTGTAGTTGAAAAATATGAATGACATGAAAAATTTACTAGAGGAGCTCAGCAGAGGATTTGAAAACCCAGGAAAAAGAATCAGAGTAGTTGAAGGCATATCAATAGAGATTATCCAGTAAGAGAAGACAGAAAAGTAATATAGAAGAAATATGAACCCAAAACTTATAGACCTGTAAGACAATAGCAAAGTTTCCAACATGCATATAGTGGAAGTAACAGAAGGAAAGGACCAGAAAAAAATTTTGAGGAAATAATGGTCAAAATTCTTCACATTTACTGAAAATCATGAATGTATATATTCAGGAAGATAAGTGAAACTCAGATAAGATAAATATGCCTAGATATATCAAAATTAAACTGTTTAAAGCATAGAAAAAGAGAAAATCTTGAGAACAGAAAGTTAAAAATAGTTCATCATGTCCAAGGAAATATCCATATGCTTAATGTTTGATTTCTTATAAGAAACAATGGAGGGGAGAAGGCAGAGGAAGCACATATTTAAAGCAATATTTGAAAAGATAATACATAAATGAATATGCAAGGATGTCATGTTCAGCAAGATAACCCTTCACAAAGACAACATAATGACATTCCCATATAAACAGAGATTGGTATGATCTTCCTCTTTTTTTTTCACTTTATCAATCATGATGTCTTTCTGCAGGGTTAACATGTCAAAGTACTTGATATCTCTCCTTCCTCACTTCTAAAGGAGCATTCTGGCTAGACTCCTTCCAAGACAAATGTATTCATTCTTTTGGCAGTCCACAATATTCAATATTCTTCACCAACACCATAATTTAAAGGCATCAATTCGTCTTCAATCTTCACTATTCATAGCCTAGATTTCACACGTGTATGAAGCAATTGGAAAACCACAGCTTGTGTCAGGTGCTCTTAGTCCTCAACGTTACATCTTTGCTTTTTAAAACTTTGAAGAGGTCTTTTGCAGATTTACCAATCCCATGTGTCATTTGATTTCCTGATTACTGCTTCCATGGGCATTGACTGCAGATCCAAGTAAAATGAAATTCTTGACAACTTCATTATTTTCTCTGTTTATCATAATGTTGCTTATTGATCCAGTTGTGAGAATATTTTTTTTTTTTGTTTATGTTGAGGTATAATCCATACTGACTGTGGACAAAGAGTGTAATCTTTGATCTTCAACAGCAAATGTTTCCTTGCATCTTCACTTTCAGCAAGGAGTTATGTCATCTGCATATCATAGAAGCAAGTTTTTTTTTTGTTTGTTTGTTTTAATAAAGTAAAGTGGTATACCCTTTGCTTAAAGTTCTTACTCTGAGTTCCTGCCCCATGCTTTCACCAAATGCCTACAACAATTGATTAAATTCTTACAACAATGTGAGATTTTATAGTTGAAAACCTTCTAAACTTAGATTATGAAAAGAGTATCTGTGGCATTCTAGCCTTGGGCTGTTCATATTTCTCTCTATCTTCATCACCATGGAGGTTCTGGTAGGGTCTATTATGGCAAGAGGATTAGCAGCTTCTCTGCCACAAACCAAGTGTGGCATTCAATTTGAAGCATTGGGCAATAGCCATACCCAGCAACACTGCTGATACACATGATTATACACGTGGTAATGAGTCTTCCTCCAATCCTGTTGCTATATACTTCTTCAGACAGTCCAGCTTCTCAGATTATTTCCTGAATAGACAGATTGAACAACTATGGTAAAATTACACAGTTGACACACACCTTTCTTGATTTAAATCATACAATATACTCTTTTTCTATTTGAACAACTGCTTCTTGGTCTATATACAAATTCTGCATAAGTGTTCTAGAATTCCCGTTGTTTGCAAGTTACCCATAATATGTTGTGATCCACACAGTTGAATGTCTTTGCATAGTTAATAAAATACAGGTAAATATCTTTCTGGCATTCTGTCTTCAGCCAAGATCCATCTGACATCGACAATGATATCCGTCATTTCATGTTATCTTCTGAATCTGGCTTGAATTTCTGGCAATTCCTTGTCAATTTAATACTGCAATCATTTTTTTTTTTTTTTTAATTATCTCCAGTAACATTTTACTTGCATAATATATTAATGATATTGTTTGGTAATTTCTACATTCTGTTGATCCTTTTACTTTGGAATGATCAGAAATATGGATCTCTTCCAGTTGTTTGACCAGGTAGCTGTCTTCCAAATTTCTTGGCATAGACAAGTGAGCATTTACAGTGTAGCATCTATTTGCTGAAACATCTCATTTGGTAGTCTGTCAGTTCCTATACCTTTGCTTTTCACTAATGCCTTCAATGCAGCTTGAACTTCATCTTTCAGTACCTTCAGTTCTTGATCATATGCTACCTTCTGAAATGGTTTAATGTCAGCCAATTCTTTTTGATACAGTGACTTTATGTATTACTCTATCTTTTGATGTTTCATACTGTTATGTAGAGATAAAACATAAAGTGCTTAGCACTGTGCTGGGCTCCTGGATACACTCAGTACTGCTCACTTTTTTTCAGCCTTACTTGGGAAATGGCCAGGAGAGGGAGAATAACACACCTGTGAGAGGTTAGCACTGCAGCACAACCTTCCTGAACCTCCTTCGTTATGGCTTCCCACAGATATCGCTTAGAGCAGGGATCCATCCCAGAGCTGGGCTCATCCTGCAGGGAAAAACAGATCTTTGTGACATCAGGAGAACACACATAGGAATATAAACATTGCAATGAGAGTTCATATGCTGACCAAGAAGAAATCACTGCTCTGGCTCAATTTTGCAGGTCTCCACTGGCTGACATGCACTGCCCTCAAACCATCACAGATGCATCTTAACATTAGCTGAGTTACTCCTTACAATCTCACTAGACCGACCAATGTTGATGCCTTTAAATATAACCTCAATCTATAAAAATTTAAAAATTACATATCCCACAAAGAGATATATGGTAACAGAAAAATGGTATACTTATTCAGCAACATCAAATATACTGAAATTTCTTAGAACCTGAAGCTCACTCATTCAATAGACACCAAAACACTTCTTATATGACCTACTTTTGATAGACATCTTTCTATTTAATGATGCATTTCTGTGCTTTTTGTAGAGAGGAAGTACTGAACATGATTTTCCTTCAGAGTTTAGGGAAATCAACTTCCCCAAAGGAAAAAAACTGAAAGGAAGTGAAAAAAGAAAGGGCACTGAACATGAAAGCAAACACCTGACATTTTCTGCAAGCTAATTGACATATTTGTGTGTATGTATATTGTTGTTAGGTGCCTTTGAGTTAGCTCAATTCATTACTACCAAGTCCTGTGCAAGCCCCACAATCTTTGCTATACTTGAGCCCATTCTTGCAGCCACTGTGTCAATCCACCTAGTTGAGAGCCTTCCCCTTTTTTGTTGACCCTTCACTTTACCAAGCATGATATCCTTCTCCAGTGACAACATGACCAAAGTAGGTGAAACGAAGTCTGACCATTCTTGCTTCCAAAGAGCATTCCAGCTGCACATCCTCCAGGACAGATTTGTTAGTTCTTCTGGCAATCCACAGTACTTTCAGTTTTCTTTGCCAACACCACAATACAAAAGTATCAACTCTTCTTTGGTCTTCTTTTTCATTATCTAGCTATGACTTGGATTAGGCGCCCCTTCATCTTAAAAGTGATATCACTACTTTTTAACACTTTAAGGAGGTCTTTGGAAGTAGATTTGCCCAGTGCAATATGACGTCTGATTTCTTGACTGCTACTTCCATGGATGTTAATTGTATATCCGAATAAAATGAAATTCCTGACAATTTCAACTTTTTCTCCACTTATTATGATGTTGCTTATTAGTCCAGTTGTGAGGATTTACTTTTCTTAATGGAGCTCTGGTGGTGTAGTGCCTAAGGCATTTGACTGCTAACTAGAAGGCTGGTGGTTCAAACCCACCATCCACTCCTTAGAAGGAAGACTGGGCAATCTACTTCCATACAGATACCACCTTGGAAAACCAAGGAGGAATTGCTATGAGTTGGAACCAACTCAAAGGCAGTGAGTTTTATTTTATTTTTTTTGTTTGTTTGTTTAATGTTGACATATAATTCATACCACATACTGTAGTCTTTGATCTTCATCAGTATGTTCTTCAAGTTTTCTTCACTTTCAGCAAGCACGGTTGTCTCTTTTGCTATAGCAGGTTGTTAATGAGTTTCCCTCCAACTCTTATGTCACTATCTTCTTCATATAGTTCAGCTTCTCAGTTTATTTGCTCAGCATACAGATTGAACAAGTATGGTGAAAGGATGCAAACCTGACAGACTCCCTTTCTGATTTTAAACCATGCAGTATTCCCTTGTTCTGTTCGAATGACAGCCTCCTGGTCTACATTCAGGTTCCTCATGAGCACAATTAAGTGTTCTGGAATTCCCATTATTCTCAATGTTATCCATAATTTGCTATGATTCACACTATCGAATGCTTTTGCATAGTCAATAAAACACAACTACATATCTTTCTGGTATTCTTTGGTATCAGCCAAAATACATCTGACAGCAGCAATGATATCTCTCATTTCACATCCTCTTCTGAATCCAGCTTGCATTTCTGAAAATTCTGTCAATGTACTGCTACAACTGTTTTTGAATTATCTCTATTTTATCTGTGTGTGATATTAATGATATTGTTTGATAATTTCCACATTCTGAGGGATCACTTTTCTTTGGAATGGGTACAAATACGGATCTCTTCCAGTCAGTTGGCCAGGTAGCTGTCTTCCAAATTTCTTGGCATAGACAAGTAAGCACTTCCAGCACTGCATCCATTTGTTGAAATATCTCACTGGGTGTTCCGTCAATTCTTGGAGTTGTTGTTGTTATTGTTATTATTATTATTTTGCCAATTCCTTCAGTGCAGCTTTAACTTCTTCCTTCAATAACATTCATTCTTGATCATATGCCACCTCTTAAAATGGAGGAACATTGACCAGTTCTTTTTAATACAGTGACTCTGTGTACTCCTTCCATCTTTTTTTGATGTTTCTTGCATCATTCAAAGTTTTGCCCATAGAATCTTCCAATATTGCAAGTTGTCACTTGAATTTTTTCTTGAGTTCTTTCAGCTTGAGAAATGCTGAGTGTGTTCTTCCCTTTTGGTTTTCTAACTCCACATCTTTGCACATTTCATTATAATAATTGACTGTGTTCTCAAGTTGCTCTTAGAAATCTCCTGTTCAGCTCTTTTATCTTGTCATTTCTTCCATTTGCTTTAGCTATTCTCCATTCAAAAGCAAGTTTCAGAGTCTCCGCTGACATCCATTTTGGTCTTTTCTTCTTTTCCTGTCTTTTTAATGATGTTTTGCTGTCTTCATGGATGATATTCTTGATGTTATCCCACAACTTCTCTGGTTTTTGCTTCAGTGCTTCAAATCTATTTTTTCAGATGGTCTCTAAATTCAGGAGCATAAAATCAAGGACATATTTTGGCTCCCATGAACTTGTTTTAATTGTCTTCAGCTTCATCTTGAACTCACATATGAGCAGTTGATGGTCTGTTCCACTATCCACTCCTGGCCTTGTTTAGGCAGAAGATATTGAGCTTCTCCATCTCCTCTTTCCACAGATGTAGTCAATCTGATTCATGTCTACTCCATCTGGCAAAGTTCATGTGTATAGCCTCTATTTATGTTGTTGAAAAAAGATATTTGCAATGCCATGCCTCTTCAATTTGTCATTCCCAGAATAGTAGATCATATAGCTGTCTGAATCAAAATGGCCCAAACAGTCCACTTCAGTTCACTAATGCCTAGGATATCAATCTTTATGCATTCCATTTCATTTTTGACAACTTCCAATTTTTCTAGAATCATACTTGGTACATTCCATATTCCAATTATTAATGGATGTTTTCAGCTGTTTCTTCCCATTTTAAGTCATGCCACATCAGCAAATGGAGGTCCTGAAAGGTTTACTCCATCCATGTCATTAAGGTCAACTCTATTCTGAGGAGGCAGTTCTTCCCGTAAGGACCTCATCTTCTGATATCAGACAATGCTTCAGGCCTATTCATAAAGTTTTCCAGTAATATATCAGACATTGTTTCACTGCTATTCATAAAGTTTCCACTGGACAGTTTTTTGAGAACTGGATGGTCTCTTCCTTCTTCTGAGTCTGTTTTAGTCTGGAAGCTCCACTGAAACCTGTCCACCACAGGTGGTATGAAATATTGGTGACATATTCTCCAGCCTCATAGCAACATTCAAACCATAACAGTACAACAAACTGACAGATGAGAGTGGATATACATACATATACCAATAGATAGATAGATGTAGATATAAATATAGATATATAGATATAGATATCTGATGGTCTGCTTCTATAAAGAATACAGTATTAGGAGCTCTATGGGGCAACCTAATGGGTTTATGTATATATATGTGTGGGGAGCATGTGTATATAGATATATACAGATAGATATGCTTATATATATATACTTATATAGATAGATAGATGATAATGATTTTTGCAGTGCTCAATAAAAGACTTGGATGTACAATATTAAATTTTACCAATTCCTACTTACGTGGCATCGGTGATAACAATTTCTTTTTTTTTCCTATGGAGAAAGTTTCTTCAATCTATCTATTTACCCAGATGTTTTGAGCAATCATCATCATAGTCAATAATGTTTATTTCATAGTTAACATATACAAAGTGCTAAGCTATGTGCTTAATGTGGATTTTGTCATTTAGTGCTTTCAATGGCTCTATTAGATGATGGATACTTTCAGACAAGGAGAAAGCATGCATAGAAAGTGCAAGTTTACCTGCCAGGGAGTTGTAGAAGCAAATTTGAACCTCATCAGTCACAGTCTATCTCAGGATTCTCCACCTTAACTACTAAAGTAAAGTTCCAGGCAACCAAGAGAAGTGGAGAGCAAGGATATGTGTAAAAGAATAGTGTGACAGGCTAGTGGGAACTAGGGGCAGAGGTCCATCATGCTGACCTAGGAGATGGAATGTAAAGCTGATCATAGAAGATTCCGCTGAAAGTAATGAAAAAATAAGTCTGTTAACTCTTTACACATAACCTCTTTATCCTGGTGTAAAAACCATGTAGCTTGTAATGAAATAATCATGTAAACTTTAGTTTATTATTATTATTATTATCAGATTCCAGAATGTAAAATTATGTAACAGTCCTAGATCTTGCAATAAGCAAACTTAGAGCAAGGAAAAAGAATATTCAAGTAAGATACCAGAATATGCCTAGCAAATGACAGGATCTTTTTTTAACCCTAGCCTTCTATATTCTGTTAATGTGCCCACTCCCATGCTGCTTTCATGTAAAGAATATGAAATGGGGGGGGGGGAGTCCATTTTATTTCCAATACTTTTCAATGTCTCTGGGATTTCTTTCAGTGTGCAGTTCTAGGTTCCACTGTAGTGCTCTAAAAACTAGAATCCAGGCTATAGCACATAAAGAATGATTTTATTTATTATTAGAATGCCATTATTTAGAGGTATGTTGTTGTTGTTGTTATGTGTGGTCGAGTCGGCCCCGACTCATAGTGACCCTTCCTTGGGTTTCCGAGGCAGTATCACTACGGAAGTAGGATTGCCCAACCTTCCTTCCGAGGAGTGGCTGGTGGGTTTGAACCGCCAGCCTTCTGGTTAGCAGTCAAGTGCTTTAGGCACTATGCTACCAGAGCTCCTTAGAGGTATAGACATGTTTAAAAAATAACAATTGGCTATATTTTTTGACAACTGCTACCTCCAATTAATACTTTGATCTAGCTAAATTGAATTAATTGAAGTCCCCAAATAGGTCATAGACTGCCTTGTTTTAGAGCCATTACACACACTCTGGAATGGCCTGCCCTCCCTGGCCTAACCATCCTGCTCTCCCAATACCAGTCCTTAGGGTTCAGCCAGATGTACACTGTCACTACAGTACATATACATATATATATGCAAGGGGAAAAACTTTAAAAGTTATATACTAGAAGAGAAACATATATTGATACTTATGTTACTAGTGAGTTGATATTCTTTTAAAATACTGTATTTCAATGTTAAAATTTTATTAAATTTTCAATTCAGTATGTTGAAAGACTTTAAAAAATATAAAGTCTATAAAATTCCAATGATAATTTACATTCATTTTGGGAAATGTTGATTTGAATCAATACAGCTTATTCATTCAGGAAACGAAAGTTACAAGTTTTGAATTTACTTCATAGAAGAACTCTGATAGGTTAAAGTAAGTTTACAAAATTCGTATTTTGAACCATAGGCATATTGCTGATATTTCCTCTACTCACCAATAAAAGAATTTCAGGTTTTCCCACCAAAGCCAGGGCTGTAGAGAGTTTCCTCTTGGTCCCCCCACTATAGGTGCCAACAGGTTTGTCCACATGGGCTTCCAGGTGCAAGCGCCTCACAAGGTCTCCAGCAACCTGGAAGAAAGGAGCTCTACATGAAGGCATAGCCATTCATCAAATTGCTCACTGACACCTACTACTGCTCAGCCTCTTAGCTTCTTCCCCCTCTAACCCTGCCAGCCCAACCCCAAGTCCACGTACAGCCTAGATCATCTCCGAAACACCTCCCCTTGTGGTGCAAGGAATACGTGAGAATGAGCCAGATTTTCATAGGCTGTGAGGCATCTAAGTGATTGTTACAGTATACAAATATGGTACTCACAAAGGGAGTATGGGCAGAAAATGTAGCATCAAGGCTAGACCCAGGTGATTTCAATGCTAAGGTTAGCTGAAAAAGGTGAGCCACAAAGAAGACTGAGAAGAAACAGAATAGGAATAAAATCAAGAGAGAGAGAGGTCTCAACATTTAAAGGGAAGAAAGAGTATAAAGAGGGATTTTTCAGCATTACACAAGGCAAGAAATATCTCATTTATATTAAGAAACCACTGTGAGAAAATATCCACTCAGAGACTGGATTATAAATTATCTTGGGATGTGAGGGAAAAAAAGAGGAGGTTTTTCTTACTCAAAACTTCTGGAAGTTATTTTATCAAGTAATAAGGATCGTTATTACATATTATTAAATGCAATACCCTACAACCACAAGGAAATCCTTATCATTCCCCAAGTATATCAAACATGTTCACAATGTCAGTTTTCTCCAGTACCTTTCAATCTCCCAATTTTTCATACATACTTTAAGGCTCAATTATTTTCCTTATCTCCTCTAAGCATAATAATTGTTACTTCTTCTGTGAATTACATGTGTTTATACAACACTTTTACTTTGCTCTGACCATTATAATTTACACTGCACTGTATTTTGTCTTTTTCAGTCTATTTCCTAGGCTGGGTTGGTTCTTCCTGGAGGCAAGATTAAGTAACTCCTTTGTTTCCAACTGTGCATAATTTTAAAATTTAACCTTTGTGATGACAGAGGTAGTAACATGGGTTCATTCCTTAGATATCATTATGTAATCAAAATGGACAAGATTATATGTTAATTTGAATTTAAGAGAAGAGGAAAAACTCCGTAGTATTATGAAGATATATTAATAATTGTGAGTACTAAACAACCAAATAATAAAACATAGCTTTAAACAATTACTTTTTTAAACTAATGCAAAATGTTGGAATGAATATAGTAATAGTGATGATTATGATGAAGACAAAATGGTAAGACTCTAAATATATTAAAATAAGTAATCAAAAAGATAAAATAATTAGGATATGCATATTAATAAATAACCAGATAAATAGGAAAGTAATAGTATCATTTGAATTGAGTTGACTCCAACTAATGATTCATGTACACATATTTTTGATTCCAAAGTCAAAATTTTCCACTTGCACACATGACAGACACAACAAATTTCTACATGTACATGTACATCCATGAGATCAAAATGAGTCAATAATAGGAAAAAGGAACCAAGGATATACAATGGAAATGCCTTTCTTCTCACTTTACTTCTGACCTTTATCCTCTGACCACTGTTCCTCCTGTCTTACAACTTCTAATTTCTTACAAAATAAGGAGCAAAACTGACTGTGAATAAAAGAAAACTTCAGAGTAAAAGTCATGGCCAAAGAAAAGATAATGATTTCTATTTATAATGATAGAAGATAGATGTTTACTAAGGGCAATAAAAGGGGCTCTGGTGACATAGAGCCTAAGGCATTTGGCTGCTAACCAGAAGGTTGACAGTTCAAAACTACCAGCTGCTCTGTGGAAGGAAGATGGGGCAATCTACTTCCATAAAGATTTACCACCTCAGAAACCCAACGGGGGTTGCTATGATTCAGAATTGACTTGATGGCAGTGAGCTTGGTTTTAAGGGCAACAGTGGTTGGTGCATAAATTTGAATAATATTAGTATTAACTAGTCTTCTTGGTAGGTGCACAAATATCCTATTACTGATGGCATTGTACTTTGGGACAAATCTTGAAATATTCTTTTTGATGATGAATATGATGAGATTTTTCTTCAATATGTCATTCCCAGCATAGTAGGCTATATGATTTTTTGATCCAAAATGGCCAAGACTAGTCCATTTCATCCCATTAATGCCTAAGATATCAATCTTTAAGCATTCCATTTCATTTTAGACAACTTCCAGTTTTCCAAGATTCATACTGTGGTGGTTAAGTTTGTGTCAACTTGGCTGGGCCTGGTTAACTGGCTGGGCAGCTGGATGTAGTATCCCCCCATGATGGGAATGGTAATCAACTCCATGGTGGAATCTTCTGTGAGCAGCTGAGTAGTTGCCTTTGGGCATGTGGTCTGCTTCCTCTGTATAAAAAACAGCTTTGGGAATTGTCTGTAGCCTATGGTATGCTTGAACCCTACATATAGCTGTGTCATTGATCAGCAGCCTGCCATGCTCTGCCAAACTTGGGACTTTCAATGGTGAATTAATGGCCTGCTGTGTGGTTTGGTAACATCAGGACTGTGCCATTTTATTTGTTGACCTTGGGCTTGTTAGCCTCATCAGCCACTTAGCTGCCTGATTGAAGAGATGTCTCTAGTTTCAGTGGGCTAGGAGCAAGAGGGAGAGCTGAAGCCCAATGTCAAGGGGTGTGTTGGATTGGGTTCTCTAGAGAAACACAAAAACCAGCAAAGTATATATATATATATATATTTA